TTTAGGAGAGCATTTAGAAACAATTCATGATATTGAATTTCAATGGATATATTACAAATTATATTTAATGATGCTTTCTGGCACAAATTATTTACTATCAATTATCAAAACTAAAAGCAACAGATATTGTGCTTTAGCACGATACAATCAGTTATTTAAATTTATGAATGAATATGTTGCTGCAGATGAAAAAGCTAAATTAGTGTTAAAAACATTATTGTATTTCCTTGGTATCAGTAATTTTACTTGACAAAGTCATTTCAAATGAGGTAGAGTAAATTTCAGGTAGCCGACTGGGGTTTTCATTGTGCAATAATTCAATCTTCCCTACTTTCATCTCTTTCAACTAATGTATTTCTACGGAGATTTTTTTCTGTTCATTTTCCGATGAATGTAATGTCATTTTTAGTAACCGAACTACATTTCACTGTACATTTTGATACGATTATTGACCGTATTGACGTCTTTCCAATAATTATAGGAACGCGACTGTGTTATAAACTAATATCTTCTCAAAGGAATGATAGTGCTCTCATGATTTAAATTCAGCTTCTGTAAAACTTGTGTTTCTCTCCGTGTGCTTTAAAGGAAATATTTTTTTATCGAGTGTTTCTATTTTTGAATTATCCAATAAAAATTTCTGTTGAGTAGAGAGAAGAAATATGTTCAAATAAATTATTAAGCGAGGTAATTGTTGTCAAAGGGTAATGCCGGGATATAACTCTGTAAAGAAGCACGTGTTTTGCGTTTTTTATTTGTAATAAATAACAATTTACATTGATTTTAGAGTAAATTGTAAACCAAACTAGAAAAAAAAAATTTGTAGGTTATAAAAATCAAATAATAAGAAGGACTTTAGACTAGGCCTAAATTGTCATGATGTGAGTTTTATCATCACATTCTCACGTATTTCGTCTGCACATCATGTTAACTGTCAATCATGTTGTACGTGTATTAAGGTGTATCGACAAGCAAGTTTATTTCTAGATTATTTTTAATTAAACCTGAAGATATCTCTTTTTAATATTCCATTGCATTCCACTTGACATGCCACCTTTGACAGTTTGCTTGCTGACAACAAAGGAAGTTTCTGCCCGCTTTATGTTGTAATCGCTTTTAAAATTGCACGTAAAGATTTTCATTACTTACGTAATCGATAACCTAGTAAATTATTACTATAGGATTAAACGTTCTTTTTGAAAATTTTATCGATGTGTAAACTCTTGACATTTTACTTACAAACTAAATAAAAATGCAAAGCACTTTTATTTTAAGTTTGTGAGTAAAATGTCAAGAGTTAACACATCGATAAAATTTTCAAAAGGGACATTAAGTTCTTATAATTCCAATTACGAAGTTTTACGTCGCCCGCGTGGCGCAGTGGTTAGAGCGTTCGCTCTAGAGTCGCGGAGTAAGGAGTTGATCCTTACGTCGCGGGTTCGAATCCCACTGTGGGACGTGGAGACCGGTCCTTCGGATGAGACCGTATAAACCGAGGTCCCGTGTCGCAGTAGGTGCTGGCACGAAAAAGATCCCTCACTACTCAATGGCCCTAAGTGCCGAGTATAGGTCAAAATTTGTAGCTCTCCACCGGCAAGTGGTGGCGTCTCCATATGAGTTAAAAATTCTCGAGAGGGACGTTAAACAATAAACAAACAAACGAAGTTTTACAATTATTTCTCTTGGAAGCCTCCATACAATCCGTTTTTTCTGTATACAACGTAGGAATACTTTACGTCGCGATGTGGAAATGAAACGTAATCGAGATGAACATCGATAAAGTTTAACTTAAATTGTCAAAACATTCAATAAAACAAACTTACAAAAAAAATCTTCGAATACTATTTAAGTCAACGAATGTCGTAAATACAAGTAGACTTCAGAAGAATGCGTCCTTGATCATGTTGATACTAACAAAAAGCGCTCTAAAATGAAAGTAGCATACGACGACACCCTTGATTTGCTCTGGTTTGCTTAAAGACGGGACGGAATAAAGGATGTAGAAATATGAATTTGATGCTAATAAGGCAAGAGTCTGAGGTACGTTTCTCTTTCCTATCAGCTACCGAGAACTGAGCTTATTTGCTTAGCATTAAGAACAACGATAATATCCTATGAGAGATTTAACTCGTGATCTGACAGTGACATAAACATAACATTCCTGCTGTTACTCCTGTATGTCGTCAATTGTTTTTATTTACATGTAATTTAAAGTTTCAGTAATCGTTTAGCTAAAACAGACTAGAAGTAACGATTTGTTTCATTTTTTTTTACAATAAAAGCTACATGTAGGCCAAGAAAATAGTTCTGGTTCAGAGATTTGTCGATGTGTAAACTTTTTCTTGAATTTGTTCTCGTCCTATAAAAACACAGGAAATCAATAAATAAAATTAAGAATGGAATTATTTCTCTTTGATGCCTCCATACAATCCGTTATTTCTGTATACAGCGTAGGAATACTTTATGTCGCGATCTGGAAATGAAATGTAATCGAGATGAACATCGATAAAGTTTAACTTAAATTGTCAAAACATTCAATAACACAAACTTATATATTCTAGAATTTGTTCTCGTCCAATCAAAGAACAGGAAATCAATAAATAAAATTAAGACTGGAATTATAAGGAAATATAACATAACGAGGAATTCTTTATTTTTATAACTTTTAAAAGAAAATTATACCCGCCTTCTGTATTACAGGCTTTTAGATACGCTCCCAAGAATCGTGTAATTTTCCAATCGATATATTTCTACGTAGCTGTCGGCATGTAAATTTCGTGCACAATTTTTTGAGTTAGCTAAATAATGAGTATCTATACTTATAAATTAATAAATTTTGCAAATAAACTCCGAAACGGATGCATCAGAGTTCTTACTTACTCCTCTAACAATACACTTTATACAGGATGATGTCCGTAAACTATATTTAGATTTCACTCGCATAGTAAGTGTCGTACATTAAATTAAAAGTCTACTTTTATTTTCTATAAACAGCCATGAAATAGCAAAAACGTGAGTACGGTGGCGTTTCCAGTTGGCGGATCTAAGTTACTGGCAGTTTTTAATGAAACTGACAACAAGCAATCGTTTATTTATTTCATAAAACGTCATCACTTTATTATTCAATCAAAACTTGATTTAAATGATATAAAAGAAATAAGTTGTGATAACCGATTAAAAAGGGAAATGTGCAAATTTTGTTCGTCATTCGCCGATCTTAATATTGACGGAAGCTTATAGAACATCAGAGAGCATCGAGCCCGAAGTTAAAAAGAAAAACGAGGCGATTTTTGCTGCATGAAAATAAAAAAAAAAATTTTTGTGTGAATGGTCATTGAAATAATGGTAAATCATTGATAACACTATAAGTTGTGAATATATTTATATATCGAAAGACTATTACATATATGTAGTAGGTTTTTCTAATAAATTTATCGGTAAAATTTGTATTTTCCTTACTGAGAGCATCGTGGCAACCTACCCGAAGTACAATTTGTACTTCGTAATAAACTTGCTTACATAAAAAGGAGAAAATTAATGAATGAGATATTGTTCAAATATAATTAAAGCTGTAAAATTTTGTGCTTTAATCAATACATTTCAGTTTTTTTCTGAATACAGTCTTTTGTATCAAATACTCGGCCTATTCATAGGGCGTTAAGCAGCTAATTTTTACACGGGTACTTGGGTCTTGGTATATAAATATGTATATACCGGGTACTTTATTGAGATGTAAAAAAGGTAAAGTACATTTTTTTTACATATCAATAAGATACATACATATTTATAAACCAAGACCCAAGTTCCTGTGAATTTTTAACCCCCCCCCCCCCCATCAGTTTATCAGTAAAATGTGCATACATGTGTATTCGCTCTTTTATCCTTGGCGGAAATGAAACAAGAGCATCTGAAGTACAATATCCATAACATTATATAACAGGTTTCACAATAAACGTCAATTAAATGAAATTGTTATTTTTCAGGTTTTTACAAAAAGGGGGTGGGGTGGGGGTGGAGACGTACATTTACTTCCTGTGTGATTTTGAACAAAGTATTTCTTCCTTCTATAAGCCTGTAAGCTGTCAGTAGAAACTATAATATATTTTCTGTCGGTAGGTTATAAATTCAATTCCCCGCGCTTGCGCGGGATTTCATCTAGTGTACATGAAAAGTAACACATGTTTTTCGCTGAAAATGCATTACAAGCATTGACTATATAAATTAGTTTGTTCATCGGGAAATGAATCTAAAAAGGAATCGCACTCTATAATTATATAATATTGTTGTACTTTGCATGCACTATGCCTAAATAGTAGTCAGGGTTTGACATATGGTGCACGAGCCAGAGGCTAGTTTTTTTGTTAAGGTTGGTTCCACATATAATTTACATTCAGTCTGTCATCCATCACATATTATAATTTGAGCAAAATTTCTTTTGTAGTATTTTTATAATTTGTTTCAAAATGAGAAAAAAAAAATTACAGGCACTTTTCTATATAATCCTATAGTAAATGTGCCGTTGATTTTTCTGCATCTTTGCATGCTGGTTCCACATATAATTTACATTCAGTCTGTCACCCATCACATATTATAATTTGAGCAAAATTTCTTTTGTAGTATTTTTATAATTTGTTGCAAAATGCGAAAAAAATGACAGGCACTTTCCTATATAATCCTATGATAGTAAATGTGCCGTTGATTTTTCTGCATCTTTGTATGTTAACTGAGATCAGTGTAGGGTACCAATGGTACAAATGGTATGCGAATAAAGTTTTTTATTGCAGTTTTCGCACAATCGCACACGATTTTTGGCTCCCTCAGATGCATATGCTAGGTAAGAAACAGAATATTAAAAACAAGAAAATTAATGTCCACAGTTGTTGATTTTATAGTTGATTTAGGGTATACTGATTACAGGAAACACAGCAATAAGCATAACATGCAAATTACATTTCTTCAATTTACATCCATAATTATACATACTCTTGGTGTTATTTATGTCATTTCATTTCATATACTCTTATATTCCGCCAATTGCTACACACATAGCAAATGTTACTTCCCTCTTTCACTTTCATAAAAGCAGGTTTTGGAATGTCCTCTACTATTCTGATGAGTGTACCATTAGAAGACAATATATGGACATTATTACTGTCTGTACCGGCAACATAGATACGATTCTTTTCGTCCTTGTCAACACCACGTGGTGCCAAAAGCTTAGGATTGCTGTAATTCCAGAGGTTATTTCCTTGATCGTCCATAGCAGTTACATCATTAGTCGTCCTATTACTAAATACAATGTGTCCATTGTCTATCACAGCTAAGTATACAACTCTTTCGTTAACAGGATAAGAGTGAATCAACATCCCTTGCACATCGTACTTTAAAATGGCAGTTTCACACGCAACAAATAGAAACGTCCCCCAAAAATCCATACCATACGGCTTAAAATTGTATTCAATGGAAAATTCGCGCAAAGTAGCAAAGGTATTTTTTGAAATAACAATTACATGTTTATTAGTGTGGTCAGTAACATATAATTCATCTTCGACACACAGTACATCAAAAAGAGAACTGTAAGATTGAAATGTTTTCATCCGCGTGAAACTATTGTTAGTTAGAGAATATTTAATGAGACCAATTTCACTTGATTGGAAACTTGCTATAATGAAAGTTTCATCAGAAAGGAAGGTGCCACAACATATGTTAAGACCCGGTTCATCAAAATCATTAAGAAGAGAAAAATCAGCGTTCAATAAGTCCAAGTCAGTGAATAGGATTGTCGAAGATTTTGTTACTTGGGGTTTAGAAGGAAATATAGCATTTTTAACCTGTTCGAGTTCTCGTGCTGCATTAGATTTTATTTTGATTTTGAGGGGTTTTTTGCTTTCATTTCGTTTTTTCAGCATTTCAAAACCCCCCTTGATTTTATGATACTCCTTCATGAAAGAAACACCTGTTTCTACATTCACTTCCTCAAGACATTTCAAACAGTGCTTTGTAAACTGAATCCTGTCTGAAAGAGAATCAATATTTTTGTTTAACATCTCCCTGCTTTCCTTCATAACTTTGCTCAATTCATTCTGATGCTCAGTTTCAAATTTGTCCAACTGTTCAATTATTTCCCTCTTCAGATTTTTTGTCTCTTCCGTAATAAGATCCGAAGTGCTGTCAATCTCACTAATATTGTCTTCGTGGCTCTTTTTGGCTTTTATCAGTTCTGCTTCATAATTTCGAAGTTCTTCTTGCAATGCTTGCAGATTACTGCTGTTCTTTATTCTTTCAGTGACTTTTTGTATACCTTCGATACTGTCACATTTCCTGTGTTCCATGCTAACGCAAAGAGTGCAACATGGCTTATTGTGGTCATTGCAGTAAAGCTTCAATTTTTTATTTGGGTGCTCCTGACAATTTTCATTTTTTAACAAATCACTAGTCAATTCCATAACTGCATCCGGTTTATTAATGGGAATTATTTTATGTGCGCTTGAAGCCCGATTTCTTCTGTGGCATTTCGTACAAATTTCACATAACAAATCTTGACAAGTTAGACAAATATCCGTTGCTTCCTCTTCTTCGTTTTCTCTCTGACATGCTGAACATAATCTGGATTCCATTATTTGGTTAAATTTTTCAAGCATTTCAAAGATTGGAAAATTTTCAGCCCATATTTCTGGTTTGTCAGTTGACACTTGTGATGGTATAAATTCCCTACAAAGAGGGCATGAAAACCCTATGGGCGCCTCTTTAGATTCACATGAAGTCACGATGTAGGACGATAGACAACCGTGGCAAAACAAATGTGAACAAGGCAAACATCTTGGTGTCTTGAATTTTTCAAAACAAATTGAACATGCCATAATGTCATTCTGTGAAGGTGATGAAGCCATTGTTCTATGTTCACTGAGTATCCCAAGTAGTAAAATTCTGAGAAAAAATAATAATCGAAAGTAGAGTCAATAGTATTTTAGTCTCATTTTTTGATAGGACGATCCCGATCGGAAATATGAATTAGAATATGCTGTTCTGCACTACTTAAAATGACAAGTTATCTGAAAAAAGAAGTAGATTGCTATTTTTTAAGAGAATAATAATAATTATATATATATATATATATATATATATATACTTATTGTACAAAATTGTAATCAATACCTAGAATTTTTTAATAATATACATTTTTAGAAATAATGGAGCAATACTCACCCTCCGAACCCTAACAAAAACACCTCAGTAACCGTAAAATGTCACCTCAGTAAAATATACCTTGTTTTGGTGTCAAATTTATACATTACTAAAGTGGTTTGCCGCAATAAAATTGTGGTAGTTATTTTACTATAGAAAACATGGATTATAACTTTAATTTACAATAGTTCAAACTTTAGTACATTGCTTTACGCTCAAATTGACAAATTCAATACGGAACTTTATATACTAGTGTATACAATGAATATGAAACTAATTTTTTTTTTGGGTCGGAAAAGAGAATATTTATTGTGTGTAGATTAAGTGATTAATTTATTAGTTATTTATTATCTTCTTGCAAAAAAATTAAATCACTAATAAATGGCTGTATTCATTTGGCAATATTAATTAACATCCAACGGAAATCTCAAAGTTATTATTAACATGAATGAATATTAAATAAGAAAGACAAAACTATTTCGTTACGCGTATGTTATGCAACAATGTTGTATAAAATACGCGCAAGTTACACCAGTGCCATTATCAATTCGGTGAATTTCCTGAAATGTTTCGCCAAGATACATGTAAAGCAACTGTTCATTGAATGACATGTAACATACAGGTATACCAAGTCATTCAGATGTATTTAACAAACGTGGTACATCTATTGTTAATTCGCTTACTTATTTGTCTTTTAAACATTGCTGCGAACGTTCTACAGTACTCATTCTAATTTCATGGACAATGAATGCATAATATCCCAAATCCTTCTAACAAGATGGTACCCATACATGTAAACCTAGAGGGTCACCTAAAAATCGTGACTTTTTCCTCATATTATAACCAATTCATAAAAATTATTGCTGAGATCGTAAGTAGTAGCGAAGTTCATACAGTCATAATGTATTCAAAATTATATGACCAACTTTGAATCTTTGATCCAAACTTATTTTTGGCCATACAAGTTGCCCAATAAATGTGTCCAAACTGGTAAACGTTTTTCTCCTTTAATATATGATCGGCTGTCTCCACTTTGACTTTTAAGGGTCGTCCGTTTTCCATTTACCTACATTTGCCATAAATTTTTCACGTTTAATAAAGGACTGTTTGTTATATTTATGCAAGTAAAACAATTTAGTTTGCCTTACTAGATGTTGTAGAGTTCAGAATAAAATGTATAAATATTGTGTACATTTTGTATTTAATTTAGATCCTAAAGGTGGAAGTTCATGACAACGGAATCCACTAGTATGTTTTCTCGTTCATATACAGATATATTCGGTATGTAACAACATTGGGTGTAATAGGTATTAAAATTGGATTATTTCGAAAGGAAACTAAAAATTGTTCAAATGTTATTTATGGGGAGAAAATGTAAAGAAGTTTTACATACATATCCCATTTCTATAATTGAAATTCTTTTTCCCGAATGTAACGTTAGATATAAGTAAACATGTACACCTACATATATTTAAATGTATTTCATTAACGCGAAGAAATAAAGACAAAATTTAATATGCATTTAGAATGAGAATATTTATTCAGTGTCGAATGCTAGTAAAATGAATGCTGTCTGGAATAGAATCGAGATTTTTTTTTTACTAATTTTCTTTGTTATGAACTTTGCCCGATATATATCCAGATGTACACTTTCGGTTATTTTCATTCACAGTGACAAGCTTACTCTTGTTCTGACAGTGGTTGTATGGGTAATTCCTATCAAGGAGATATGAATGACGTATAGATTATAAATCATTTAATACGAAACATTTTAAAATGTTGTTATGAGGAACATCCAGCATTCTGGAAACAAAATTCAAGGCTCCCCAAAATAACAGTGACCCGTTAAATATTCTTTCGCTATTTTCTGTTTTTTCAGAATGTAGTAGAATGGACGTTTGAATACGTTTTATTCTTGGGCATTTCTTCAATTCGGTGTAGAAATTTTAAAATATGGTTACAAAAATTAGTTAACTTATAAAAAAAATTTGCCAAATACTGACAATTATTTAACTGAAACGAATGTACAGTAAATCTGTGACCTCAGATAACCTTCTACAGATTCTCTATGTCAGGTACATGATCAATCTGTGTGCCGACAAAGAAATTATCTAACCTTTGCATGCGGTTGCTAGATTTTAATATTTACTCAGCGAATTTTTAATAACATACCATATAAGTATGCATGAAAGGGATACAACTTCAGTATATTTCGTCTTCCGTCGGTAGGCCTTTTTAATTATAGTTTAAATTCAATTACATCATTATTGAAAATGTTCATTTAAACTTCTGATGATATGACTGGCTTTTACATTGCACAAGCAGTGACAATAGAAAGAATGGAAGGTTTTCATTATCCGCCAATATTAAAGCTATCAATGCACTGTGCGCAAAGAAATGACGTTCGAACATTTAGAATAAGTTTTCAATAGTCGGTCTTTGGAGCCGATCATAAATTAAACACTCTCTTTTGAATTATGAATGTATAGCTATATAAATAAGTTGTGCCTCGGTACATGTATATCGGTGTGGTAGAGTTCTTTCACTTTATTATTGATTGAGCATTTGGTATTAAAGAATGGTCCAACTTCATAAACGTGAAAATTACTGTTCTCTATTATAAAAGTTAGGACAAAATAAACTCGATGAACACGATCCATGAGCAAATTGAAAGACTCGACTCATACACAAAGCGGAGTAAAGTCTACACTAAATTACATCGATCTGACAATGAGAAAGGTATATATGTTCAATTGGTACACGCGGAGCCTTTTTTGAAGGAATATTCTGAACATATGGTTAATATAAAATGTATATGGGGTGATTTTTTGTGCATGCAAGGGACAAAAGATTGGGGATCGTACCGTTGTATGGAAAGACCGGGGTCTGATATTTTGTCTACTGATCGGATGTGACAACGAGTTTTATCTCTTATGTAAACACTTCGTTTTAGACAGGTCTTTGTGAAGCATTGAAAAGATACACATTAGATTGTGATTTTAATTCGCTTAATCGATGTACAGAAGATATATTGGTGTGCGTGATTTGTGTATTTTAATTTCCATATGATAGCGAAATTACCCCTTTTCAAGATATTAAGTAAATAGTTCGTTTACTGTGTGACATTACAATGGCACGGTGATATGCGCTTGGATATGGCGAATTTATGTTCATATCATGGACTAAATCATAAAACATAAGACAACAGACGAGGGAAATATTGATTTTCTTCTTTCTAAAGATTCTGCTTTTAATTAAATATAAAACGCTGGATTTAATATTGGAATTTCAGATGAATTCCTATAGTAATCTTTAATGGTTGTGATATTTACAAAAGCATGGACAATTCAGCACAGATTGAATTGATAGATGTCAAAAAGAAACCAAAGAAAAAGGATGGAAATGCTTCTAAATATAGGATGGGGGAGGGTGAGAGGAAGCTCCCCCGCCCAGTGGTGTTCTGGAGTGACAATGAGAGAGACGCGTTTCGGAGGAATAAAATCGTTCAGACACGATATAATATGTTAATGGATGATATTGAGAACCAGAAGAAAGCGTCGCAGAAAACCCATCGTCACGAGGCACATAAGTACCAAGTACGCAGCGGTAGAATCCGACAGGAATGTCAGAAAATACAAAACGATGTAAAGGATAACTCTGAAGAAAGCAAAACTATCCCGGAACCGGAAGTGAGTAAAGGATCCGATGAAGACAGTGATTGTGAGAGTCAGAGTGACTCGGACAATGACAGCGGTCGTCATAAATCTGGAATTATAACAAAACATAAGCGGCCCTCTGTAAAATTCTCCGTGTACAAGGAATATATTCCTAACGACGAGAAATGTATAAATTCGGTAAGAGATACGAATTCCACGATTGTATCGACTAAACGAAGTCAGTCCGCGCCTATGACGTCACGAAAAGCTCCCGATCTTCCAGGGACGATTGATAGCAGAGCTCATAGTACGATTCCAACATCAAGTTTAATGCTAGATGAAAAAGAACGTCCAAAGTCCTCTCCTGTCAATTCAAAAAGTAACAAATTTTCCACTCCAAAGAAATTTCACAAACCAAACAAACTGTTCTTTGACAAGTCGGTAGCAGCATATGAATTGCGTAAGGAATTACAGAAACTGGCCAGGTTACGTAAACAGGGCCCAGTGGTGACTACGTATACAATGAGTGATGCCCTTAGAGAAGAACGAGAAAGGTATGAGGCTAGCCAAGCGCGAGTTAGTCGGTACATACAAAAACTGGAGAAGGAGGCAAGAAATCGTGACGTCACAATCCAGTGGAAACAACAGGATGACGGGATTGAGTAAGCGCGAACCGAACTTCTTTCTTTTTTTCCAGAATGTTGGAATTAAGTGCATTTATCCAATATGTGGAGTTTATGGTAAAAACGAGAAAAAGTGTTTGATATAATCTCGTATTATCCATGACTGGAAATTTTTATGTGATTCAAAAAGGGGTTAGCTATGCAATTAAATTAAAAGTCTCAAAATCGGACCGAGAGAGACGGAGGATCAATCTTTGTGTTCAAAATTATTGCTCAATAATCAATCACAGATCCTTACTTTATTGACAATAATCACTCTGCGTGGAAATGTATGATGATTTTTAAGGCTTCATATTGAGTACATTAAAAATACTGGATGATTGTATTTAACAGAAAAAATAATAAAAACTGAGAATTGCAAATATAG